TATGCAAATAATAGTCCCGCTACCTTAAATAACTTAGAGTTTTAAATAAAATCATATTTGTAATACACTTATTGCTAGTTCATTCACGATTAAGGATTAACATGTGCATAACATGGAAAGTTGAAAACCAATATGATGAACACCGAGTAAACTGTGTTAAAAAAGGTAAATTTTATATATACATATTTTTTTATTGAACATTATTGGTACTGTATAAATTGACATCATCATGACGTAATCTATATTAATGCTGTAAACGAAACAACACTACACTGTCGTGACATGGCGATCTGGGCAACTACACTGAATCCAATGCAATAGTTACATACTATATGTATGGTATCTTCACTCAGTGATTGATGGTTAATCTTTTGTTTGCACTGATTGTCTTTTATTGGTCTAGTGTCCGTCGCGTCATTCAGACATAGGACTAGTAGTTCGTTTCAAATGTAGCAATGGAAGAGTCGTTCGCTAGATATTGACTTGTTTTGACAATTTTAATTTGACGGCATGTCCAAAGTTCACATTTTTCTTTGTCGTCTAGGTTGTACTTATAGCATTATTCGCAACCTCCATTGTGTTAACATTAATATGGAAATGTCAAAAAAGTCTTATAAGACTGTAATTTGTAAACCAATAGCAGTTACTGACTACTGACGAAATTTCTAATTTGTTCTGCAGGATGTGTCATTTAGTTAATCGTCATCACAGTCGATACAATTATATTACATGTAGTATAAATGTCGTAATCGTCGCAATGTATTAAACGTTTCGTGACATATGTTAATTTATATCTGCGATATTATAATAGTTGTATATTTCTTGAATCTTGAAAATGTATCAGGCTGCAATCTCTTGGGCGTAATATTTATTTGAACGATAAATTCTTCGCAGTCGTATTTGTATTATACGAATGCATTAGCCAAATAAATGTCACGTGACCTATATGTGCGTTATATGTTAATACCAACTATAACTTTTACAACCATGATAAGATTATTCGAAGCTTATGTTATTGTACACATTAACAAAAAAATAAACCGCTCATTGTAGAATTGCTTTAATTGAAATTCAAGTATTGACAGACATTGCCTGAATTTCTTTGAAAACTTGTTTGATATTCTGACGGCTTTATCAACGCTGTAGTGAATAGCACGTGGTAATTGAAATCCTGATCTTCCGAGCATCGATTTCTTTATGAATTCAGCACATTTGTAATTTAATTATATATTTTATGTTGTGTAACAGATACTTTGTTAAATATATATCATATTTATGTTTTGGTCTACGAAGTCAAAACATTTGCAGAAAAAAACATTTTGTTTTCAATATAATAATAGCGCACTTTATATAGGACATCTGTAGCACAAAATGTTGACCATATACCAATTATATTTAACGCGCGACTGTTTGTTTAATTATATGCATGGAAATGAACTATTTGTCCCTTGTAGTTAAAATGTATAGAAGGAAACACGTACTATGAACTTGACCATTGACCTGTTGTTAGATCGTGTACCAACTTTGAAGATACTGGCTTTTTTTCCTTCTAGTTATTCGCGGACACACAAGCTTAGGCCAAGAAAAAAATCTATCTCTTGCATGATTGTATTGTCAGTAATATCGTCATGTAGTTGAAATCTTATATTTAATTTATATAAAACACGATACTGACCATGTTTTTATTTTATCGGCACCAATATACAGAACATCAAATGCCGTGTTTTGTTCACTCTTAGTTAGAGCATACCTCTTCGTTTCAACTAATTTGAATTTGAAAAAATTATCTGAACACTCTCGTAAATTAGAGTTTAGTGGCACAGTCCTTGAATTAGTAGTGTGTTGACTTGTTGATATGAACGCTGTGACGTCACTGTCTGAGCACTTCTCAATCAATATAAATCAATCAGCTGAAGATATTCGGCTTTTGACAATTCTTTATAAGGTTTCCACTTTGAAATGTCGTCATTAGCGACGTCGATTACTCCAAAAGCACGACTAATAACGCATCCACTGGAAATCTGAATGAAGTTAGTGCTTTCAGCCCTTTCAATGCCCTGCACTTCACACCTCGATGTGATGACAGGGAGCCCAGCAACTACGATCAACTGTATACAGTCTCTATGTGTGTGTGGGGGGGGGAGTACCGGCTGGTATCTATTGTAAGAAACAGACAAGGGATGTAGGATCCAGCCAGCTCACATTTTTTTAAATTCGAAAAAACAGCAAAAAGAATGAAAAATAAAATCTAAAAAAAGATACCAGCTTGAAGAATATTGGAAGCCGTCATATCATGAACTAGCGCCCTCTATGTTCAAAATGTCAAATCATTTTGCTTTTTTTTTTGCGGTAGGTGTTTTTCGGCGAGGCACGTAGAAACATTATTTTTTCTTGACCTTACGTACATTATTACTGTTAATTGTAAGCTACATGACTTATAATTGAGATATTCCAGTTATGATTATGTTAATGTGGCAACTGCGATCACGTCACGTGAATACATTGACTGTGTGACTTTGAAGGTGGTATTCATACTCATCTAAAGACACTTACGCTTGTTAATACTTTTGATGGCGGACCAAGATCATACCACGACCGGACGCATAGAGCCGGGAACAGCCACTGGTGGCGCTGTATAGTTTTAAAAATATTTAATGGCTCGCAAAGTTAGATTTATATTACAAGAAACACATCACTTATTAAATCTTGTGACTAGTTTTGTATAGTAATATCCACAAAAAGCTGAAGGTCAAGGCAGAAAATATGTGCTTGCGGCATTTCATAAAAAATGGTTTCTAATAATAATTGCACCTTAAAATAATATTCATGAGATATGTCTACGTCATAAGTTATTAGCATATTTTTTATGAAGTGCGCATGCTTCAGGTTCACAACACATGCGTGAAATGAAAATTGACCTGCTACTTGAACACACACAAAAATCGGTCGGCTACTTGAAAATTGTGCTGCTATCTGGAAAATCTGTAAATATGACGCATAAGTACAATTGTATTGTGTATGCTTACGAAGTCGAGTAAACCACGAGATGCTGAACTCTTCTAGTTACGAACATCGAGTTACAAAAATGACCTCGCCCAATTTTACAAAACTACTTCCAATTGTAACTCGATGTTCAATTAACAGTTAACCGAACTTCGAGTTACGGATAACATAACATTTTTGTTCATAAATTCCCTAACAACAACATTATCTCCTTCCACGCCACTAAGGCACAATATTTCAACAACAGGTATCAAATAATCCATGTCTACTTTAGTCAACTAATTTCTTGTTCTGGCTCCTATAACTTTTAATACGAAACGTGTTGTCAATTGAACGAGTTTCCGTTCGCCCTCACAAAGCGGTAAATACAGAATCTCAGCAGGTATCCAACTACCGTAAATTAAATCACTTGCAAGTTGAAAGAGTCGGCTGTGGGTTTCGTCCGCGTCTCCAAAGGCCGTCGAATGAAATTAAGTTTTGCAAGTTAATCTCATGAATGTCGGTACTAGATGACAAATTTATCGGGTTCCTAAGCAAAATCTCAGATACGTCACCATCTTGGGAGGCGGGGGCTAAGCCTCTCTGGCGGCCCTTCACTAACAATTGTATATGTCATTTCCCACAATTTTGCGGCGTGCATGGCAATTTTCAATGGTTCCCATCGCATGACCGATTTCAATAAAATAATAACTACTCAATCTTTCCTTGGAAACAATATTTTGGTAAGATTAGGACATCTTTACGTTGTTATATTTAAACAATAAATTGTTCATACTTTCTTCTATGTCCCGGGATTTCGAACCTGAAACCACGCCCTCGGTGGTGAACTTAAGATAACATATACTGTATGACATGGCGATACAGGGGAGTGCGCTTAATTACGGTCATAAGATATAGTAATAAATTGGAATGAATGCTGAACGTTGTCAGCAACGTATATTTATGTGCTGCTGTAACCAGTTTCTTTTTGTAATGCCATGGATAGTGAGTAACTTGCGCCGTTTTTGATGTTTAGGATTTTCTTTATATGAAGCAAATATGTACGGCAAAACTGCCACTGAAACGTCTCATTGGGAATCGCTGCCGTCTACGCTGTGAGTCTTCACTGAGAACACTCGAAACTGAGTGACGTATGAATGCAGAGATATAATGTTATACGTTTATGAGAAAGGCATTTCAAACACTTCTAACGGCACTCTGACATTCTTACCTGGTGAGTGGTGAAATGACTGTCAAGATGTTCCCAATTTTGTATTCAGTAAATTGATTGCTGAAAGTAACATTTACTGTGTATTTCGAAATTGTCAGAAAACAATGTATGCACACAAATTGAGTAATGTGTATTATAATACAGGAATTAAAATATTACATATTTAAAATATAAGTGTTGTTTTTTAGTGGGAAAGCGGGTATGAGAGATGTATGTTAGGTACAGTTTTGCATGGTGGATGTCTGTTCGATGTGATAGATGAATAACACGTGGTCATTCGGGCAATATCACGATTTACTGTCTGCCCTGGGCTGTTAGTAATGACTAATGTTGATGATGCTCAGTGTTGATTGACAACATATTTGCGGAGTTTGTGACCATTTCTTTTAACAAAGTATCAGCAACCCAACGGAGATTGTTTGTGTTCCTCCCTTTGCTGGCAAATTTATTTCTTCACACACATGTTTTTTTAAACACTTAAAATAAAATTTCACCTTAAGGGAAATTGACGGTGTACTTTCCATCAACAATGTTTTCATCAATAATTATCCTGGACTTGAAATCAAGGAAACCTTCACCTTTCTACTAGACTGCGCGTCAAACGACATGACCTCTGTTATACCATCCACATTCCCCATTTGCATAGTAGTATCGCCTTTCTGCTACATATGGTGTCTTCATTAGAGTACAATGACTTTGAGAAAGGTTATAGATCAAGCCTGTCTTCTATGCTGCTAAGTCAAGGCGTTTTTTCAAGAGAATGTCTTGTTTCATCTTTCAAGCGTTGTCATGGCAGATGATTAGCGTTGGTTATGAAAGTTACAGCTGCAAAGTACTCCATTCTCCTGTGAGTTTTCATAACAATGGGGGCGATGACGACTATCATATTGCTCATAATTTGCAACATATGTGGCAACTTATTTAGCAAATAATTGTTGGACGATGACATGACAGCATCACGTCGTCGAGAACGTAATTCACGAGCATATTTAGAGGATTCCTTGTTTGTTGATCGAACAGTATCCCCTACAGGTTAGAACAGAGAATCATAATATGAATATACAATCAAAATACAGTCATCGAATCCTGTGCAATTGTTATACAAACAAGTTTGGGATCAGACTATTGCACAAAGATTTTAATCAAGTTCATTCAAATCAAGTACACACGAGACCGCGATTGATATTAACAATTGTTAACAATCGTCTTGATGTTTTCAGTCTATTGTTGTTCAGTGTTGCCAAGGCAAGTTTAAAAAAGTCATTTCATTCACATACCCACTACAATTAACACAAAATCGCAGCAGGTAATGTAACGTTCACTAAAATGGTTGGCAGGCAACGGATTGCTAGTACATGTATGGGGTATGATGGGTCGATAAAAAGAAGAAAAACATTTACTAATTGGCGAAAGGATGCTGGCAGTTATTCAGTGTAACGCTTGCAGGAAATTATTGTTCGTGTTAGTGGTTATTCTTTAAATGGCTTGTTTGTTAAATATTAGGATACACATTGTGATTGAGATCAATAAAAAAAATAATAACGAAATAAATTGGTGGGAATGACAGTGGCATTGTAGTGGTAATTGAGAGAAATTACATGTGTGTTAGCAATGCTTACCTGAACATGAAATCCTTGCTCCGTATGTAGTTGCTATTTCCGTGAGGAGAGTACTTAGTTTAGGAACAGAGAAACTGTCACTTGCTACATTATACACCTGTGTATTATTTTCGGCAATTAGGCGTCCATCTTGATAAGGCGTGGTTGTAGTCACATGCGAATTGGGACGGATAGATTTACCACACAGCAAAGTAAATAAATACACTATAAATTGGAACTTTAAGAACATCGCCACCATACAACTAAATATACTTTTCTGTGGGTCGTCCATGACAATTGGATACGGATTCGTCGAAGAATCAGCCGAAGCAAACGTTATGTTTCGTAGGGGTTTTGATAAGCACGGACTTTGTACTTTGTCCAGCTGACCGTTATCTATGTGCAATGTGTAACATATTGGTAAAACACTTGTCTGTGCGTTCACCAGCAGTATATGGTTACTAAGTAACGAAAACCAGCTCACATACTGCCTAGTAGGCGTGTGTATGTGAAATTACAGAAAATAATGCAACTTGGCAATAAGGTAATGCAGCAATACACACACAAATAAATAAGAAAGCAGATTCTTTGTGTTCACGTGTATATGCATATTCATATTGTATTACTAGTATATTTCTACAACAACTTTAACGTAGTAAAATCACCTGGGAAACATATAAACTGTTCCAGTCACGTGTCACAACTACGAAAACGATTATTGGTCACTCGTGGCCCTTATCTATATAAAGGAATAGCCACGATAAATAAAATAGGCACAGACGAGGACATTTTGTCACGGGGAGAACTTTATATCCTAGATTAGTCCGAATACGAGGATTTTATCTTTCTATTTAAAGCTCATCACGGCAAACTATCTATAGTTCTAACTATTTTATAAAATATTCTCGCCCATCAAATCGTAATGTGAAACGGAGCCATGCCTCTATTTCAAAATCGAATATGCTATAAACGTTCTAGAGCATTTATCCGCAATGCGTGAATGGGTACACGTGTGCGTCTTTCGGAATTTGTAGTTAGGTGCGTTTTTTTTTTTTATTTTTACCAGCCAGATTGGAAAATTACCCTTCTCGGACCATCTTTGGCAGCCAAGGATCATTTACTCGGCCGAAGCCTCAACATTAATCCATTTCACCGAGATTTACTGTGTGGTTCAATATGGCGGTGATTCGAGTTCAACCCAACACCGAATTTTTCGATGTGAGAACAATAGACAGTGATAAATGGTATTAGATGTTGGGGAATGGGATTTTTTTATAGTTAGATCTCATTAAGTAGATCGTGCGTATACGCTCTAACTACCACAATTTTAATATGTATGAGAACAATGAGTACACATTACTCAACCATGGCACTCTCACATGTAAACGTTCTGGCACTTTCATAGCATTGTTAAATAGGGATATGATTCTATTTCACATTACATATTTCGTGCAGAATAGTTTACATGGGTGTCAAGTCGAATGAATCCCGAGTAAGAGGACATTGTTAAAGTTGTTACTCGGTGGGCAGTTGCAAAATTAATTCTGTATGAAGCAATTGATTGTTAAAGGTCAGACTTGATATTCGAATCAATAAGTGGAAAAAAATATATGAATTATGGGCGCAGCAAAGAGCATGCAGTAAGAATTAGGCTGACCCACATGAAGCAACCGGGAAAGGAGGGGTAAGCAGGGAATTGTGAACTTGTAGAATATATTAACTACTGCAATGGGTACCACCAGTATACTTGAAAATGTGAAGCAACTTGACCAAATTTCAAGTAGAATTAGGAAATATTTGTGGAATGACATTGGGAACTGGGAAACAACTACCCAAAGTCCCTCATTTGGTTGTAGTGAAGTGGTCTGAAAATGGACTATTTTGTCCATTGTTCTCGTCTTTGCCGAACTAAGCGAAACATCCTGAAAAGACAATACAATTTTGTGTCATGATACTCTAGACTCAGATGCAGTAATTCTGTCAAGAAAGTCGCAAATGGTCAAATAATGGAATGCAAAAATAACAAACATAATAATATAAAAATTAAAAATGAACTAGAAAGTTTTATTTTATTCCGCATCTTCCGTTCTCAAAATAGCAAAATAGTTAAACAGATCCGGTGTGTAACTTTTCCAGTTATCCAATTATACATGCCATTTGACAGCCCTGTCATGAATATGACTTCTGTGGCAAAATGCACTAGGTGTCGTCACTAGCACTTGCAATTTGCACATACAAAATAAAAGTCAGGAGAGACAACAGTTACACTGAATGTCCAGAACTGTCGCCTGGCACAGCAAATATATAAATAAATAAATAAATTGCGAGTATCAAAACAACTAGTCTTATAAAATTATACAATGAGTATCCCCCCCATAGGTCATTTACATCGCAGCCAATCTCTGCTAAATGAACGCCCGTAACGTTTGTCTGGAGTCTTTGACGTGTCTCTAAATCTCCAATACTTAGAACCCTTCACAAAGTACGTGAATTTGCCTATTGAAAACGCGTCGTCAAGATCAAAAGGCAGGCCCGGTAAAATTTCAAATAAATATTCACTCGGCCCAGGCAGAACTCGTTCAATGTCTTCGTCCCAAATATAGTATTTCCAACCTTTAGTAATATAGATTTCGTCGTCGCTAATGTGTCTGATAAATGCAGAGTCAGGATTTTTTGGAAGACCCATTTCGTGTGTCGATTTTGGATATCCCAGATCAAGTTCATTGTTAGTGTACCTCCACATGTAGCGATCTAAGAAAGAACGAGACATTATAAGTGTTATAACATTAACCATTGCGATTATTTTCCATTCCATTGTTATTCAGGTATAATAATATACCATCAATGTTTGTGTCACATACTTCTTTGAGTGGATCAGGCAATGAATTGTGTTATTCAAATTTTATTTTCAGTTTTTCTTAATATGGCGAACACACATGTGTAAAAACAAGATATGTATCCAAACTAACTATCGAGACTGTATTGAGCAATTGGAAAAACACAATAAATGATGCACTTGCATAATTAGCATAGCGTGAATTGAATATTATCTCACTGTTTACAAATATGCTAATTGTATAATTATTTAAATAATGTTCATGTATACATTCAGCACTTCAAATATTTTAAAAGATTGTCAACAAATTTCTGATCCTTGAATTGCTGAAATGGATATACAGCCTACTTACCACAGTAATTACATACGTTGTTCCCAAGCGGTAGGGGACAATTTAATTAATTGCCAGTTCACAATATTAAACGAAAACGTGTATGTTAAATGAAATACGTATATTATGTACAACGATAAAATAATTTTCGCCTTTTTTTATAATTCTGACACACACACGTACCTTTAAAGAAGTATATTTTCTCAGTTTTGGGCGATGCGAATGCCGTGGAAACACCATCAGGTATTCCCGGATACTGTGACGTCAATCTTTTGGGGTAACCCTTCTTGACTCCGCTATGTCTACCAACTACCCATATATGGGCACCAGAAATGAGATATGTGTCACCAGCAGCATCTGTACGTGAGCAAACCATTGCAAACAAACAAACAAACCATTGCATAAAGCGTGCACGTGTAGTAAAAATTGTTTTCAATTGAGTGATATATTTTTGTCTTTATTTTAATAAGCATGGTTGTGGATTGAAATCCAATCTATAACAAAGATTCAAGGTCGTGTCAATCCATGCAGAAGAATTGCACATACCTGTAAAAATTGCGTCAAATTTAACTGTGCAGATATCTGGTGCGATCGGTGGAAAACCTTGAATAGAAATCAAAGAGAAACAGTATTGCAATCGGTCACATTTTAACTGCATCATTATAGTAAACCACGCTATGATTACAACGACATTAATTGATGGCACGGTTGATATTATTTATCTGTGTTTGTCTGATGTATAAAAATTATGATGAAAAGTTTGGCGTTACAAACAGACACTCTCGTCTTGAAATTACAGGTTCGCAAGGTAATGAATCACTCGCTAAAATAAAAAAGGGGTCAATTTGTTAACCGCTTTCTATTAGGGATCCGAAGTGAAGGTTTGTGGCGATTGGATGATTCTTCCATTTTTTTACCGTTCACTCACCGTAGAGGCTATGAATCCCTTTGATATCGTCTGTCGCGAGAACAAAATCAGGGTCATAAGCAATATAAAATGGATGCATGAGGGCGCCTTCGTCTTTTGAGTGTCTCATTCCTAAACTGTGACCAATCTCGTGTGCGGCGACTGTGTCAAAACTTATTCCTTTCTTGGGGAAGATGGAAAACTTGTCGTCGGCGTCAAAATGAACTTGACCATGTGGCGGAGGATACGCGTGTCCTAGTACGCCACCTGCAATTGTTATAAAAGAAGACATGTGACTGCTACGTGCTTATAGATGAAGCCAGTGCGAAGAGTTTATCAATGACGTAACTACTACGTGCTTAACATGTGGTGTCGTAATTTCTCGCACAATCGTAAATACTCAAGAAAGACTGACCTGGTCCATCAAATGGCCTGTTGTCGCCATGGCTACCACTCGCAAATGATATGGCAATATCAGCCGTGTTATCATTCACTTCAACAAAGGACAATGGTGTGTAGTTACTCCAGCGCAAAAACGCCCGATATATGGCGCGCCTCTGTTCTTCTACCCCAATGCCGGAATAGTAGTTAATGAACCGGAATTTGACCTCGTTGTTGACCCACTTTTTACCTGAAGAAAAAGTCAACATGATAAAATCAAGTCTATCAGTATTTGACAGTACTTCCGTTATCTATACACAATGTATTGCCCGTTCTTAGAAGAACAATATTCTATGGCTGGGCGTGAAGCCGGTCAATGATGAAATACTTACAGTTGCCCTTCGCACAATGTTTTTTTTTTCTCGAACAGGTCGGTGGATTATTGTTCGTAATACAAATGATAACGTTCAGTGGAATGATTTCTCTATTTATTTTCTATATATATATGGTATAACTGTATATACATTTGTATATAATAAAAGTCGTAAACAGTGCGCTTGATGAGCACGTCCCCATTTCAATAAAGTTAGCACAAAACTTCCGACGACGCAGTATAGTCACAATCAGATCCGGAAGTTCTATGCGGTCTGGGGATTATTCAATCCTGCGTAGCATGTGGGTTTGGTCGTGATAATGAGTTATTGCTAACGCATGGAATTACTGTGACCAAATTAACTATGGCGGTACTGGAAGGCTGAGATGCAATTTGATGTTCTCGCTTATGTTCTATTGCGCATATGCAGTACTTCAAATGCATATGTATATATTATATATAAATGCAATCCAGCTCTACAATATTTCGCAATATGACTTTTTCTGTTTGTGCGGGTTTGCGTAAGTTATTGAATTCAATGTTTTCAATTTTGTCGTATCGTGAAATGTTTTTTTCTGCTTCCCAAGAACTTGCAAATGGATCGTGTTACCAGTTCGTTTATACTCCAAATAACATTGAAATAAGTTTCAAAAATTTACCTGAGACAGAATATCTACGAAATCGGTTGTCTTCCTCTTCAACACCACATCTCAGTGCTGTTTTCCTGTTGTTGGCGTCAATGTCATCAAGTCTTTGATGTCGCTGAAAATGTCGTATTGCATCGCGGAGTGGATTGCTTTCTCCGGCCAGCTGAACGACCTCTGACCCATGACCATGCAATTTCAGGCTGCTCTGTCGGAGATTATACAAACAGAAAACGAATGATATCAAATGTTAACCATTCACCATGAATGCAAATCCCAATATACCTTCCTGTAAGTCGCGCCCTCTTGTGCCAAAGGGCATCTATGACGTAAATGGGTGACTATTGCCGTTCGAAGTGTCGATATCGTTTCAATCTGTAGCCGTCTATGAATGAAAATAATTATATTATAGACGAAGAACGACTGCATGGACAAATACAGGTGTCGATATGAGCATTGCTTCACCCATTTACGTCATACTGACGTCACAGACGCGCTGCGCCACTAGGGGCGTGGTTTTGAAAAAAAACACCGACAATTACACAGTCATTGAAAAGAAGTAAGCTTATTTGCAGTGAATGAAAGTTCAGTAAATAAACCCCAGAAAAGAAAAGTGATTAATGTCCACCTGTGACAGCCGATTCTTGTTTACAACGTGTCATGTAATATTCGCTCATATCTATGCAATGTGTTTGAAACATTTGAACTTCACGGTGCAGTAACAACAAATGTACTTGCCAATTAGACACCGCAAACACCCGCAAAATGTAAACACGTTTAATGGCCATTAAGGTTGGTAGTAATCCAATTTTCATATTGCTGGCTTTTTTTAAAAATCGACATAATAACATTCATTTTTTCATAGCGATGTTATTTTTGGTATATCTTGCATATACTACATTGTTATCATCGCATATGTTGAAATTGCAATTTGCATAATTAGCAGACATGTCTTGTCTGATTTGAGTAGCTGGTGTATATAATGCAACTTAGGAATAGTTAAATAAGTATAATTACTCACCCGGGGTGGCTAATTTACATAATAAGTTTGTTTTTGAGTTTTCGTTATACTAAACAACTTTAATGTTGTCTATTTAAATCATAAAAATAATTCAAGAGAAAAATTGTAACTTTAAATGTGATTCCACAAAATGCCAAATACTTGAAGAAATATCGCAAAGTTTTGAACTTGTAAAATTTATGTGGACTTAATGTTTACAACACAATTAAACTAAGCATTCTCTCTTACCTCAGCTTCAATGGCGTACGTAGTTACTACCATCCATAGCGATAACACACTAAATATGATTGTTCCACCCGATCCCATGGTAACAGCTACAAGTTATATTTGCCTAATATTGATTTGCTATAAAATATAAATAATAAAAATCACAGTGGCAAATATCTATCGGACCGACGGATTAATTTGGATAGTATTGCTTGCCCTTTTTTGTGTGGTTGGGTCAATCAGTTGATCTGGCTGCACGTACGCCGGCATCACCTCACACCCCGTAGTGCCGGAACACATCGTTATTAACGACAGGAAATTGGTATGGATGAGTTCAGGCATTGTCATGTACGCCTTGTTAAATTGCCTCACTGATATTAAGTTGCATTGAGGTCTAGCCGTTACGCTTCGATTATTGACCCTCTCTAATAGACTCCAATTATTTTGGCATTTTAAAAGTTCCGACAATAATTGATTGCCCTGAACGACGTCATTGTGTTATCTGCCGAGGGCGCTTGTCTGTTTTCTGTTTTTAAACAATATACGTTACTGCCAAATAAACTAGACTACATCACTAAGGCATCAAAATATAGAGGTGTATACGCCATGGGAAGTTTTACAATGGTCCTTCACGTTAAGTATTTTCAATTGCGAGTGATATATTTGAACACTGTCCATATAATGAATTCTACTTTATTTCTTTGTCGTTATTAAACTACGTGTAGATTTGTAATTATTTTCAGACACACGTGTATCACCTAAACACGTGACAGTTCGCACATATTTGAACCAGCTGATATATTTACATTGGCGCCGAGCTATGTGTCACCTTGTTGAACATTCCATTGGTCGCACCCATACGTCTCGGTCAGTCCCGAAATAAACTCAAGTACCCGTGATGGGATTCTAACAAGCGCAAATGATTACGTTGTCCCTGGGTCCTAGTAATTATAGAGGTAATTCTTATGTTCAATAAACGCGTATGAAAACATCTATACTACCCATTCCTATTATAAACTCGTTAAGATATGAGTTAGTAGATTAAACAGATACGCATAATGATACATTCGAACACAAATATATAGGAAAACTCACTAAAATAAAATGTAGCTTAATTTACATGGTTTTTCTATCTTCTCCCTTCCCATCGCTTCTTCGTACGTCATTTGTCTTCATGTGGTTGTAAAAGTTTTAATCAATAAAAAAAGATTTGTTGGATATCAACTTCATCTTTTCCCCGTGAACGATATGTGCCTGTGCTAACCGATTAGGATATACTATTGTATAGCACAGTGTACAATCTAAAATACGTACTTACCGGCTGCCTGCTTCTGTTCCTCTTCTTGGTTAATTGTCAGACTTGGTGTTCTCTTTGCATTTATATCAATTAATTGGCGGCAGAAAAAAATAACCTACCGTATTTGGGTATACCTTCTACACTGTGTGATTAGCGTTCCCCGAAATCTGTTATTTTTTTTTTGTTATGATGGTGAACCCCGGAAGTCATGATTCAGGGGTGTAAAATTGTCCGTCAAACCGTGATGTAGTATTATTTATATAAGATTGGGTTTGCCTCGATATTACAAGGTTGCTCACCATTATGGTCAGTACACACCCATACTTAAATACATATTTCTTTAAGATATAAAATATTAAATAGGTGATGCATTTTGTGAAAGCCAATTTACGAGTTGACGAACGGGTGTTACTTTGCTCCGTCACGTCAAAGGAAGGAGGGCATTCCACTTTAAAGATGTAACTGTTCTATTTATAAATCTTTCGCAAATCATTCTTAGGTGTAGGGTGAAAACAGCAAAAGTTTCACTAATTTGTTGGCAGCACCATCCTGAGGTATATGGCTGCACTTGTTTTGAATTGTCATAAGTTTGAGCTTAAAGTGCTACATGGGGTAACTTCCGGTTCCGGTGATTACGTAATACAAAATATTCCCTGTCATGTGTGGTTCAAGTTATAATTAGTAAACAAGAAACTTTACTCTTTCTCATTTGATGCAGCAATATATGCACTTCAACATCCATTGACATACTTGAATGGTAAGGACACGATTGTATGAGAGATGACGCCATTTTAGGAGCTCTGATCAATCTTTATTTATGTTTTCGTTCTACTTTCCGATTATACACAACAATTCCAACCGGAACGCCGAAAATAGGCTTCTCCACAAAGTCTGTTGCACCTCCAATCAAATGCAAAGTTATGAAAGGTTTTTTAAATGACTCTGTGAGACACAGACGTGACGTAATTTTTTTCTCGCGGTGGAATTGTGCAATGACTGGTGAGTTGACTGTGGATGTTCCAAACCATAGTAGCATTCTCACCAACGTCAACATGAGCGTTTCAGTCGAGCGGTGAACACTGGTGTCGTTCCAAGGAACACTTAGAAATTATTATATCTTGGAATGAGGATAAAAGGCAAACGAGGAATATGGTAGATCATGCGCTGATATTCGTAAATATTTTTCGGTAACGGATAATCTCTAGTATAATGATAGAAAGAAGACTGAAAGCGATAGCGAGGCCAACAACATCTAATACATAATTGAACTGAGATTCACTATTCGAGAATCTACGTACAAAGATATCTAAAAAAATCAATATATAAGTAATAGGTTCTTGACACAACATCGGATATAGTACAATGATCACCAAATACAACTATGAACTACTCACAAAAATATAAATATTTTGCAGAAAGTATAATAAGATGAATTTATATTTTTATTTATTTTTTTTCAAACTCTGGAAAGTGAATATTAAACTGTTATCGAATTAAAAATGTATTTTTTATGCGATTTAATACTAGATGTGAATGTAACATTTGCATTAAAAGTGTATTTCTGCATTGTTGATATAAAAAATGTAAGTTTTTGTTCATAATCATTTCGGACTTAAAACTTGTACAGTACATCAGACGACATAGCACTGGTTCTTTCCTTATGTGACTGTGACTTCCATATGGACCCCCTAGTAACTCAAGAGCGGTGGTTGTCGCGCCACGTCGTGTTCGATATGGGACTCATAGCAATGTACACAAAACGTGTGAAATACATTGTTTGTTTAAACGAAATTCAAACACTGTTACAAGGTTGGTGGTAGTGGACACTCTTGCCGTGTTGCTGTCTGTCTGAAAGTTTGGGTACGTCCCAAACAAAAACAGTTGGTAATGTACTGACCTGCTCACTACACGTGCCGCTCGTTACAGTACTCAAATACGATAAGGTCATATCTGAATGATGTCATAACGATGAGTATCAGTTCCGTTGCTCGGCATTGGTGACACAACTTCAGTTTATTGGAAGCTATCAAAGAGACATGCGTAACTAAAATAGTGCTCAAACAAATGTAACGCGAATAGAATTCAGAATAAACCTTCTTCCCGTGTCAGGAGGTGTCAGGGAGTATACATTAGTACCGCAAAGTACGCCCTCATTTTCACCAAGACTAGTAACGGAGTTATTATGATTTGTGGGCAAGACAACGACAACAATGCAACGCGATATTTTCCGATAAAAAATGCGTTAATTGACCTTTAGGAAATTGATCAATGCATTCCTTATTTGGAAACGTTGCGTCACGTTCACGTCATATTCGAACACTTTCTTTTGTTTACACCGGATACAGTAAGAATATAGCACGTGACTGAAATAGAACACGTCACTAAACGCAAACAATGGCACAGGCACGAACACTTATTGCTGGCAATTCGGACTGTTGTATCTCACAAAATTATTACTACACACAAAAAAGATGTTTAATAATAAGCATGTCACGAGAATACCACAAACATAAGTGTGCATTCATGCAATGGCAACGTACCGCCCTTGACATACTTATTCTTGTAAATATTCTTATTCTTGTATTCTTGTAGTATTCTTGTAATAACCTCGTAGTATGAATCACCGCTTCAAGGTCAGAGATATAGCCGCCCATTTTCGGGGAACCACATATACTATTAATTCCGTACACCGGAAAATTCGTACACAGAGTTACGGAGATGATTCAACTACTCGCTACACATGACGTATTTGCCAAGTATGTGAGATAACAAGAATCGCTCGATGAACCCCTTTCCGTAGAATAAGGTATTCGAGAAAATTATACCTGAATTTCCAAGTATTTGTCGGAAATCTCTTTCCCGAGATAAATCTCCAAATAGAACCCTTTACTGAAATGCCGGGAATGGGCATACGACCAATAACAGTCCGGTACCGTATACGAACATCATTAGTGTCCACGTGTTCCAGTCAGTTGATTGGTTAAGTATTCACAGGGACAGGTATACTTCTGGTTCGGAATCTAAACATTTCACCCGAATACAAATAGTGAATCATGCACCGTTATAGATTATCAACATTCAAACTAATTTAGGCAATATGTTAATAGGAAGTTCGTACAGGTGTTAATAACTAAATTGTCGATATTGACATGTCAATGGAACAGTAGGTACAATATGAAGGGTAGATGGGATTAGATCATACACATTGTATACAGATGTTGATTTCGGGTCGAAATGCAATATTATGCTACGTTAAACAAAGATAAATGCATGAATTCATACATCACAAATACAACATGGTTTCATTATATTCGCAGTAAAATTTCGTGCAGTGTCATTCATTTTTCTCACAATTTCGAAATTAAAAAAAAATACAGCTGTGTCGTTAAAGATGGCATGAGTTAGTGGGCTGAAAATTAATCCGCAAAATCAGCGACCTCTTAATTTGTTAATAACAAAACTAAAAAGATAAGTCCACACCAACTGTGTTAGCGTGACAACTTTATTAATTAGACGTGGACCACTGGGATAGTTTGAATACACAATGCACAGATGGAAACGTCGAGGACGTAATATTTGCCTTAAAATGAGAACAGTGTTCAAGTTCTTTATTGCCTTAGGGTGTGTATTAATTGGTATTTCATTTTACCAGTATTCGTTAATATTAAACATGAACGACGTTGATAATCATGTTGGGAATGTATTTCAAGCAAAGCCACTTACGTTTAAGCCGAATCATGTAAGTATATTATAATGTTGCCTATCACAGAGTCCACGTGTTTAATATTTGGCATGCTACTGATTAACTCACTGATATGCATAACCGCAGTTAGAGACACGTAAAATCTCCCAACGTAAAATCCTACAGAAAATCAGTCAAAGGCGATAAAACATACCATAGTTTCATGGTAAATTAGTGTTTACTGTCGCTTGACTATGCGATGGTGCATATCGACTTAGCATGTACAGCTGTAACTCTTTTCGTTTCATCTATTATTTTAGTGATGCGTTTTAATATAACATTTGGCGGCATCTGGTCTCCACTACTGGTAATAATATGAACTGTGACCGGTGTTGCATCGACGGTCTGTCTATTAACGCATATTAATATTTCATAAATATTTTCGTTCGTATAAATTACTTTAGTTGTTCCGTAGTTGTTATATGTTGTACAGTTGTATTTATATTATGCGCGGTTGTCACGTGGTGTACTGTCATTATAAGTGTATGCGTCATTATTATGTTATTTAAGCAGTGCAATTAACAAATGATACAATGTTCCTATGAAATACATCGTCATTACATGCTAATCGTTAAAATACGGGCATAAGTCATTATATGTTGCGCACTTGTGAGTGTATGCTGTTCATACGTAACATGTTCTGCATGTTACTCAAATAATATGTTTACCGTGTATCAAATGGAGTTTATTGAGTTTATTGAGCAACCAAGTTTATAACCTTCCTTTCAGTGCTTACTCGTATAACCTTGACACATCAAACTCCAATATATTAAACATCTTAATATAAAAACTAGTTTCAATTTGGCATGAGATGAATGTCCCATCAAACTGATTATTGAATAATCTGTGGGAAACACATGTTTTGAATTACACGCGGATTAAGTAACTAGTTTAAATATGAAATGTATAGACATGACACTCTCAATGCCGTTTTGCCAATTGTGTTGACATGATTAAAATGTTGAAGTTCATTACCGGTGTATTGTGCGTGTTAGTTGGTATTACTATATATTCCTTAATAGTATACATGAACCAAGTGCATAGCCATGTTCGAAATATGTTTGAAGCAATGCAATTCACTGACAATCATACGCACGTAAGTACGATATATTGTCTAATTGGTAACAGTGGTCGCACACGAACGAAGGCAGGTTTAGCTAAGTACAATATAACTCGGCCTGTCAATGTTTAGACTTGTTTGGAGCTGCGTGGATACCTTGTGCGCGAAGGGGGTCTGCGTGAGTTTACTTCCGATCAGCAAGAAATATTTTACTATATCAGCTTCAGTTTTTTACCGCCCATGTCGATTTTATATTGTACTAATCCAACATTAACTTAAAAGCTCACAATCCGTTCATAAAAAATAGAAAACGTGTTTTACATTCATCGACTCACAGTGAATAAGGGCGAAATATCATTTATATCCCTATGGTAACCGTATGCGCCTTTAAAGGATATTTATTGGGGGGGTACACAATCAAGTATATTCAACTCACGAAAAACAACTCATGTAAACAGGACTACCGGCTGTAAAATCGCCCCCTCTCTTTCTGTCACCAGCGCGGTCAGTAACATGTCACCCATGGAACAGACCCGGGGCAAATGATTACCCTCGTCTATAATGTATTATTATTGCTACTGCTAAATACAGTTGGTGCGATCCTTGTGAATGACGCGCAACCTGACGCTAAACCTAATTTAGAGACACTGTGTGGGTTATGAGTGTTTTTGTTATTTTCTTAAAATAAACATTGTGGCGTCATCACCAATATACCGCAACCTTGAATATAAATCCAATTTATTCAGGCCAGCTGTGACCTACTATCATTATCCATATTTGTTGTCGTTTTAATGTTGCAATTAATATACACGCAATTCAGTCTGTTATTGCTCTTGACCTTCAAATGTTAACTATAATAGTAGCAATGTGCAATATGAATAAGTAATCATTTAAATAATTTTCTTTTTTCGTGTTGTTGTTGTTATTGATGTTGATGATTATGATTATGATTATGATGATGATAATGATATCACTTTAACATCATCTGTATCGTTATCAGTTCCAGAGTGAAGACAGAGGCACTTTGCAGATCAACATGTCATTGCCTCAGTGTGAACCAGTGTCAAAGTTCATCTTCATCAAAACTTTGAAGACAGGCTCTAGCACAACAGGAAGTATACTATACCGATATGGAATAACCAACAAACTAATAAGTCCTGTCTATCAAAAATGGATTCTTCCTGTTGAGAATGGTAATAATTTAGATATTATTGGATATAATAACTGTTCAAACTTCACTGGCTTTAACTATTTTTCCCATCACAGCAGACTAAACAGGTCTTTGATGGATGATGCGATACCCGGGGCCAAGTACTTCACTATTCTTCGATCTCCCTACACCCAGCTAGAATCTGTCTTTAGCTGGTTCAACTGTGGAAAAGAACTTTCTCATTTTTCCGATCCTTTCTTAGAGTATGTCCAACACAACCACGAGTTCCTTACGTCTAGAGATAATTGCTTTCACCAACAGAGGAATGGCCAAATGTGGTCTATGGGTTTTGACCAGGAGTTGCAAGAAAATGAAACCTATGTGCAGTTAAAAATTAAACAAATTGATCAGGAGGTGGATTTAGTCATGCTCCTTGAATACTATGATGAGTCATTGATTCTGTTGAAGAAACTTATGTGCTGGCGCGACGAAGATCTGATTTACTACAGTACAAATGTTCGGTCATCTAGGACTACTTTAACACCAGTCATCAGAGACACGATTCTGAAAAGAAACCGGGCTGATATTATGTTATATGAATATTTCAATAGTACGTTCTGGCAAAAGGTTAGGGATTATGATGGAAATTTTGAAATAGATCTACAACAATTCAGATCAAAAGTTAAACTTGCCTCGAACAGATGTTTACCAAGTGCGATCGAAGTAAAAGGAAGCTTTTGCTGGCAACTATATAATAACGTACCTCAATTGCGAAAGTATGCTAGGACACTCCAGTCAGAATGGCTGAACTGTTAGATTAGTCAGTTAATGCCAGCTGTAATAAGGAAATTTGACATTCCTAATGTTTCTATGTGTCTTTCAAGTGAAGAGGAGAGCTATTCACATTGCCCTGCAAATATACTATAGTTTTATGATACTTTTACGGACACTTCGCTTAATCATGAATGCATACCCCTATCATAGCCTTACGTGGGCAGTTCTTGAAGGAATTACACTGTGAATGTACATGAATTAAGCAAGTACTTTCTTGTTCTCATATCCTCACCATGAGAAGCGTGTGCAAACTAATCTCTATAAATCATAAACACATGTGGTGATCAGATTAACCTTTACATAGACTAATGATTGTACTAAAGATTGGTTGAGTATATCGTTCATGAGTTCGATGGTCGCGTGCTGTACTGTACTGTACATGCACAATAGTATGCGCGTCTTACTGTTATAAATGGTGGTACTCCATGACTGGCTGATATGGAATACAATTAGTATCTATAATGAATTTGAATTATAGCGACGTACTTAGGTCACCATTATTATTTTGTGATGAATGCAAAACTACCACATAACAATAATACATGTTGATTTCAGTTTATTTAACGTGTTTCAATCAACTCGACATTCTACAGCAATATATATAAGCCTGGTAGTGTTGGAGATTTGTACATACAATGAAACAATTAAGAGTGTATGGTATCAATAGATTCACAATTTTTTAGAAAGTGAGGTGAAAGATTATAATCTCCCGTGGCTAAGAGCCGATGTGGGATCATTACTGGCGAGACTTATATGTGTGTTATGTGTTGACGGCATTAGTACTTGTAGCTCTGGCTAAACTAACACACTTAAACTATTTTATTGTCTAATTCATACAATTTCAAATCGTGTTCAATTCGAGATTAACGCCTACCTCATGTATTTATACTAAATGTCCTGTTTTTGAGTATGTTTTCTCAAACTATAGTCTACTCCATTTGGGAATGGTCTTCCTTCGCATTGCGAATTTGGAAATTGTGCCAGGGCTTACTGAATGCCTTCATATTTATGAGAAATGCGCCAAAATATATATATCTGGGTAATTTGATCGGTTTGTTTTAAATCAGGTTGGACTTTATGTCTAAAAAAGTCCACCCACTCGGGCTTTGTCCAAAACTTGAAAATACAAAGGATATTTGTATAAGGAATATTAGTTACTTTCAGTCATACAACCAACAATATAATTTGTTGTGTCTTCCTTAATGTTGTAATGCAGTAGGTGTTACTTAAATTACACACGAGCAATTGTCATTTAATATCTGAAAATAGCCTTCACAAGTAGTCAACCTTAATTAGCACAATGCTTGATTGTAAAGATGCAACATAACTGTAATAATAGAAGGACTAAATTCATTTAGTTATAAAATGTTTTGAAAAATCACACACAAACTTGAATAATGTAGTTTTTTGTTAGAAAATATGTTGAGGGTTGTTCGAACAACTTAAATGGTAAAACCCTCCCAAACTTATTGTCCTATACGTATTTTTGTGTAGACTGTGTTTGTTTTATGTCACATGACATGAATAAACCGATGCGATAAAGGATCAACATGTCGAATACATACTCTAATAACATTTCCGTTAACAATCGTAAATAATACGTAATGAAGTAAAAAATGAGTATTGTTTGTTTCTTCTAATTATTATTTCCGTCATTTCTAAAATAGTAACTATTTCTTCAAAATTGTAAGTGCCATTGTGAAGTCACATACGATTTTCGGATGGTGTTCTTAAAAATACAGGCCACATTCTGGCGATATCAAAATACGACTTAGAAGCCAATATTTTCTAACAACAAACACATTCTGAAATCAAAAATCAGGGAAAACAGCATTTTGTGAATCTGTACTTTCTGCACTTGCTAAGCAGTTGGATAAATGATAACAAATTCAAAACATTGCCATGAAAGGGAGATGTTACTTTTTTTATATTTTAACCACAGTCTTTCTATCCCCTGTCTGGAACCGCCTATCGTTTAAGGCGTCAATCAGCTGGCTTAGTAGGACAACGCTCGTAATGACAATCCGCGAAGTGTGGTGACTTTGTTTGGTTATACGGTCAAAGTGGTTTGGTTGTGATTTTAATGATTGTTGGCAAGAATGAAAAACATTTTACAAATAAGTTTCAATTTTGACAGTAAATATCAGTATTCTGCGTGAGGTTTTGATGGAATAAATTGGTTTGTCTTGCATATTGTTCATTACGTACAGTTTTCCAATATTTATGTTAATGTTTATATTATATTTTAATGAATAAAGTAACAAGAACGATTGTGTGCTTTTCATTCTGTACGTGGTCCACTACAATTTCCCAAAGTTTCTGCCCCAATAACGTGTGAATGGCGTAACTCGGTCATAAACACTATATTTAGTGGTTAGAGCAACCCATTTCAAAATTCTTAAGGTAGTTTAATTGCATTTTTAATATTAAATAGTTTACTAAATCATTTATCAAATACCTTTTGTGTTTATTGTCGGTATATTGAAACTACATCGACGCTCAAGTTATATGCAATTCGAGATAGATTGACAACGCGGCAGTCATTGTGTCTAATTTTTCTAACTATCGATTCTTTGGCACTAACGTACGTATTGGTGATGAAACCACCTGCAGAGTGAAAAAAGACAAATTAGCGAAAAGTCTTGACAAAACAAAAACAGTTGAACCAACTTCTCGAGTCGTTAATGAATGACACGCTCGCGTACCTATTTGGCAACAAGTACGACAGCACAGTCAAGAAAATGTGGTAAGAATAAACCACTACTTATCCAGGACTTGGCAACAACAAAAATATGATCTTTCGGTTCCTTCTGACGAAAACGAACTGTTCACAGGCAGAGACACAAAGCACATTATTCGTATAACTAACAACGCCCAAAACTAGAACAAAAAAAGGCATGGCCAATGTAAGAACACTGAAGAAACTAATCATGTCATGTCCCGTGTATGATCAGAACTGAGCAGTAAGTTGTGCTGACTACTTGCTTTATTTATTTGCTCATGATCATCTTCTTAAGTGAATCCAGTGTCTGTATTCATGTTGTTATTCTGACTCCCTTAAACACTTTGAAATATTATGTATTCTAGTTATTTTGTTTGTTTCATGTTGAACTGTGATCATGAACCCCATTTATCGATGTACTGTATTGCACAAAATAAATATTCAACTTTTTTGCACAAATCGTGGGCTGGTTAAGAAAACTCTGATTGCTTGGTTCGCGGCAAGTAACGATAAATTAATGATGCTGATGGAAATCCTGCTTCCATGGTTTATCTTCTATATGGCCGAATCAAATGAGTGGTCTACTTCACCATTAGCTTTCGGCAGGTATTTTCTAGACTTTGAAACCCATTACTAGGTCTAAACGTTCAATATTGAGCTAGTGTAATGAGGTCTGGTGGGAGACTTGATTTCTTTAGGTACCGGTATAACTAGTGCTGCAACATCTTGTCTAGCTTCGGTATCACTACAAAGAAGATCTTGACTTGATGATTCCCGAAGGAAAAGAACCACAAAAATGTTGGCATTTGGATATGGTGGCCATGAGTTATTTTTAACATTTATAGTGTTATAGATAATTGTGTGGTTGTATGACTGTGAATGCAGACTCCATATCGCAATGCATATAAGTGATTTTGAGCTTGGATTATTGAATATCATCTCTAATTACCTGTGATCATTAAACTGATTGTCATATGTTCACATCTCTAAACTAGTTCTAATGGTGTCAATGCTTTATTCGCATATGCCCCATTACAAGCTGGACTAGTACGTGTGTCTCATTGGTCTAGTATGGAACCTAAACGCACAGGAATATCATCTGCTGCTTCACTTGTCTTAATTAGTGGACTGGCTTTACAGATAGTAAATGATTTTGAGCGGATAGTAAATATTTATTTTTTGAGCGGATCTGGTGATTACGTTACTGTAGAACTTTTTGCTGAATAACACATCTCTGTGTTATTCAGTGCGATGTTCTTCTCATAGATTCTCTTGAGCACTGCTTATATTCACTCACTCACTTTAATAGATGGATTGAGCGAGCTTGTGTGAGCCATTCCTACCTGTTCCGGATTATTTGGTTTTGGACTGATATTATCGGTGACACCCATGGTATACGCTCTCTGCCTTTTCAATAATATCTAGATCTTTCAATCATGTTATTCCTTTCTCAACTTACGTGGAATTTTATTTTATGCACTATTTTTTTCACGCTGTAGTTAACATCAACACATTCTACTACGAGATTGTCTGCCCTTGGTTTATGTGTTACTGATAGTGAACACCATGGTAAATATATTCTCTTTTCGATAAAACTGATTTTGACAAAATAATTCAAAAATATATTAAAATTACTTCATAACGAAATTTATTGCGTGTGTACACAATCAATAATTTTCATGAATAGAAATTACACTAGAATGTTCCAGGAAAAACGTATACTCTCAATAGTTTTTGCTCTTTTTTGTCTTGAATTATGAATGAAAGAAGCTGAATTAGATTACAAACTGAGATGTGTTCAACAGCGCGTGTATGAACAAGCTTCAGCTCGCACGCTGAACGATAGCTTAGTAGTGACTCATTATCACCAGTTACTGTATAAAACATTTTGCCATACTTATGCTTTTTGCGGCATTCTCTGTGTTGTATTTTCCTAGACCGACAAATCCCTGGATAATGATTTGCTTTGTTACAGATGTTGCATGTTTCTTCCCTTTCACTGGACATTTGTGTTGATAATCACCATGCAATAACAAGTTTGGTTGTAAGTTGCTGTTATTATGTAAATCTGCCATCTATGTATGATATGTGTAGATTAGTAGAATTTACTGACTCCATGTAGACTTTTCTATTCCTGACGTATGGCAGTGTCATTGCAGGGTCTGGCAAGGAGCTGTTCTGGACTATCTGATTTATCTTTGTCTGTGAACTAACACACAGCTAGTTGTTGTATCTTGCACCCATAGTATCAGTGTGAAACATTCAGTAAGTTTGTGTACAGCTGTTTTGTATTACTAGGCAGCGTAGATCATACAAACCTTCACCGTCATAGTGTAGTAACCAAGCTCTTTGCGTGAATCATTTTCGATAACCTTATCCAGGATTATGTTTGAAAATCGTCAAAACCACATTATTCATCTTATTCTCAAATGATGATTGATGGTCTCGTAGATCATCGTTCACTTCAAGGTTTTAATATTTTGTTAATTCTGAATAAGACACGTTCTTAAAGTACTCTAGTAGAATGAT